CGGTAACGTATAAGGTACCAACCCAAAAAATATGTTTTTGTAGTGTGTTACCAACTAACTAAATTCAAAAATAGGTCTGAACTCGGTTTAAGCGCGGAAACATGACCGCTTTGTTGAACCTATAGATAAACGCAGTTTATGTTCTGAACTAATATTGTACAACGCCAAGAACTAGGTTCATGCTAAACCAAGGTTCAACTCGCATTGTACAATCGGGCCTTAAGGTATTTTAAGATGGAAATGAGTGGGTCAATGTTATCTAAAAACACTAGAAAATTATGGTTTCAGGCTGGAGGATTATTAATTGTATAAAATACTGTTGCAAAGATCAGTTCAATATATGTCACTACATTACACACAGTTTTTTACGAGGTTTTTTATATGGTAACTGTAACATGATAGTGATTTTTGTAGGACCTCAATGTAGTTGTAATGAAGGAAGGAAGAGAGAAAGTACTTCTTGGTTATGTGGTCTGATCTCATGTCTAGCACGTCTCCTGTCACTAACCTTGAGATACTCATGTGACCTGGTCTAATGTCAATATTTCCCAGTGTATTCCCTAATCTGTAAGTACTTAAACTTGTCTCCCCTTGTATCACAGTGAAGAAGTCCTATTAGTACTTCCATTGCAGCTGTGGGGGTTGTTTTCATTGTCCCCGTTATTCCGAGGCAGGCAAGTCTTTGTACCTTGCTTAGCCTCGTTATTGCTTTCCTTTGTTGTGTTTAGCCACCACACCAAAGCTGCGTATGTTATTGTCGGTCTCACCACCATGTTATAAAGCCAATATACCATGTCTGGTTTTAACCCCCACTTTTTTTCCAAAGGATCGCAGTGCCATCATTAACGAGGTTTCCGCTATCCTTGTGTTTTTTTCTAGATGCTGGTTCCAGGTACGTCTCGAGTCAATTATAATCCCGAGATATTTTACCTTCCCCTTAAGCTGGATGCTTGCACCTCTTAGGTTTAGAGGCCCTAGTCCCTCCAATTTTCTCCTGCGGGTGAATGCAATTATGTCAGATTTGTTTGGGCTAATGTTTAGTCCTTCCGTCTCTGTCCATTTTGTTACTATATTTAAAGCCTCTTGCATTCGATCTCTTACTATAGTGTTGTATTTTCCCTGTGTCATAATGACTAGATCATCGGTATATCCCAGGGTTCTATGTCCCTTATCTTTGAGAGCCTTAGGCAGCCTGTCCACTACAAAGTTCCACAGGAATGGAGACAACACTCCACCCTGCGGACATCCTCTCGCTACCTGTGCCGCTATTGTCTCTCCCATAAAGGTTGTGTGTATAGTATAGTAAAGTATATGGATAGCTGTTTCAGTTGATTTGCTTGCACTATAGGCATATTGGTCTTGGTATATTGGCCTCTGAAGCCTATCTAGCAGTTTTTCCAAAGTGTTAAGTACGAAGGACATAAGATTTATTGGTCTTAGGGACTTTGCCGTTTCCTGTCCTATTTTCCCAGGTTTTGGTATAAAAGTTACCCTAATATTTCTCCAAGCTTTTGGTATGTGTCCAAAGGCCAGGCTACTTCTGAGTATGTTACAGTCTGCTGTATAAAATATTAGGAACTCTTTGTAACATTATTGGATAAATCCCTTCCATACCCGGTGATTTATATGGTTCGAATGAGCTAATTGCCCATTTCAGTTTACAATAGTTCACCACTTATTTGGCTATCCTCCAGTCTTCCCTGTTGGCTCTATTATGAGCTCTTCAGTCCGTTTAGATTCCGGTTAGCCGGTGGGTGTGCTATGGTTTGTGCACCAGGGAAGTGAACCCTGAAGAGTTCCCTTACTGTTTCCTTCCCTGTGATTGTGTTCTCCCTTAGTTCATTCTTAAGGGTGTTTATTGTGTGTCTTTTGAGACAATTTTTTGGAGCCTAGCACATTCTTGAGTGCCTGTTATCTCCTCACAGTGCCTTCTCCAAGACTCTCTCTTGACTTTTCTTAAGGCTATGTTGTAACAGGTGCGTATGGTTCTAAAGAGTTCCCATTTGCCGGTTATTTTAGCCTTATTAAATTTTTGTCTCACCTGTTTCCTTAGTATAGCAAGTTCATCATTCCACCATGGAACTTTCCTTATAGAGTTCCTTGCTATTAAGGGACAGGTATCGTTAAAAGCGCTAGTGACTGTGTCAATAAACTCATCTACAGCCATTTCTAGGTCGATTGTTGTTCTTATCGTCTTTCTCATCTTCGGAAGATTACATTCCAGGGAAGCATTGTATGCCTTCCAGTCTGTTTTCCTGGGATTCCGATAAGTTTCTTTTGCAATATTACCTTTAATATTGAAGTTTATGTGTCTGTGATCTGATAAACTCTCTTCCCAAGACACATGCCAGTCTGTAACAAAAGTACGCAAGTAAGTTGATGCTATTGTTACATATCGAGTACCTCCTTTCTGTATTTTGTTATAAAGGTCGGTTTATTGCCTACATTTGTCTAAATTAGTTGCCATAATAAACTTTAGTAAAGACTCACTTCTTTCGTTGGAACAAACTTACACCGTTGCCAAATGTCCAAAGAGAAACGTAGCGCCTAAAACTTTAAATACCTGAATTTATTTTCCAATTTTAACTGCCTAAAAAAGGGATAAAAATTTGGCAGGGTATTTCTTTTGTCATATATTTTAGATATTTTTCATTATTTATGTATTTTATTGTCAGAGGAGAATTCTCCATTCCAACATATTGAAATTCAGGATATAACACTTATATCATAGTAGATAAAATTTTACTAATTGATTATAAAAGTGCTATAATATGATATTATCATTTATCTTGCAAGACACTTCAGGTACGATTTATTATTTGTATATATTTTCTTAAAGACGTATAAGTACTTAAACAATTTTATGTTATTTACATTAAACTCCTTATCTAGTACGATACGGTTAAAACGAAAATAAAAAAAAAAATATTTAAATAGGAATACTTTTGCATAATTAATAATTATATAATAAGCTGGAAATTAAAAAAAAGTAAAATATTAAAATTGAAGATTAAACATATTATATCATATAAAACAAAATGATTTTCAAGAAAAATGATGATGAGAACGTATATTTTTAGAAATTAATTAATGTATTGGCTTGGTTTTTTAACACTACGGTCTGTTAACTGTTGACAAAATTCTATTTATGTTTCTAAAACAAGGAATATCCGAATATACGAATTGTAGGTCAAACATAACGCATAACACACGGGTTAAGGTTGAACAAATTTAAATGAACTACTGAAATAAAATTGAAATAGAGAGAATGGATTTGATGTCGACGCTCGCACAAAATTTACTTTCCGATAAGGTGATTTAAAATTGACGTAATTCAAGTAAATAAGATAAAATTGTAAGAATAAATTATGTAATAAAGTAGTTACATTATTTTCACTTTTCAAAAGTGGTTTCTTTCTTTGCGTTGCTAAACCACAAGCAGGGTCGGACTGGTTAAATTTGGCCCCATCGGCACCACGAGTAATTGGCCCTTCATCCTACTCTCTATGACCAACTCGATTATTCCCATAAAGGTGATTAATCCCATTTAAGACAAAAATATTTAGAATTTATATATTAAAAAGTAGTGTTAAAATAGTAGATAGTCGAAAATCATGAAATTTCAAGTACTTTGCGACCGTTTCAAACAATCTAAAAAAACTGTAAAATTATGCATTTAAAACATAATATAAATACTGTGTAAGTAATAAATAAAAAATAAAGGTTAATTTTTATATAAAATATTTTTAGTTTTTTAAATAAACAACAAAACGAAAAAATTTTAGATATTAAAACCAAAATAAATAAAAATAAAAGTAAAAAAAGGAAAAAAAATCACAAATTAACATTAAAAAAAAACGGCTTCCATAAACAACAACAAATAAGAAAATATAACGTTGTCAACAGACAAAAATAATTAAAATAAACAAGTACACGTACAAAATCACAAAACAAAATAAAACTACCATTCTTAAAGAACAAAAATAAAAAAACTAGCTTATTAATGATAGGTATACACAATCAGAAAAAACGAAGCTTAAAAAGTCGAAGCATTATAATAAATTGAGCTTGTAGAAGCTAACTTATCGATAATTTTTTCTGGGTTAATACAAGGTGGCGCAAAATCAAGTACCCTATGGAATGTTATCATGGTTTCGTTTGTAGTTGACATCTGTTCGAGTTTTTCTGTCAGTTGCAAAGTAGATACTTGGGAAATTCATTATGAATCGATATACGCCTCTAGAACGTGCCGAAATCGTAAAATTTTTTTATCAAAATAATTCGATTATCAGAATTTTTCCTGGCACCTTACCTCGAAAAACGCCGATGTTGCATATATGCATATCCGCCAAGGTCTCCCGATTTAACTGTTCCAGACTTTTGGTTATCAAAGATAGAGTATTTGTAAATAATCCTCGAACACTAGAAGCATTAAAAGACAACATCAGGGAAGACATTGACTAAATACCACCTGAAATGTTGGAGAAAGTTATAAAAATGCATTATTGCATTAATGCTGGGGGTGACCATTTGGTCGATATTGTTTTTAGTGTGTAACAAAACAAATTTTTAGAGTTTAAATAAATATTTTTCATTTGTAATATAACTGTTTTTTAATTAATCTTACTTTTATATGAAAAACAAATAGGGAATTTATTTTGCGACACCTTGTACTATTTAAGATGTCTCTTTGCGTATTCATTAATATTAGGGCCTGCAATAATTCTTGTCCTAATAAAGATCTAAGTCTATTTTTAATAGAGAAAATACTCGTTCACATGCCACTAGGGTGCAAGACAAAGTAATTAAAAACTTATAAGCCATATACAAATTTGAAAAAGTGGATATATGCATATTGTATTCTCTTAAAATTTTAAAAGTACAGTGTACGCAACCTACTCATTCATTTATTTCAGACTTATTTATGCAGAGGTCTGCTTTTACATTTTTTTTAATATCCGGATATATTTGTGTGAAACTCAATAATTCATTTTTTAATTCTACATTATCGATCCCAATCTTTCTGCAATATCAGTAAATTTGGAGTCGCTTAATAAATCCAAGCTTTTAAAATTTCTGTAGTCGAGGTCTGAAAAATCTTCATAAATTTGTTTGTTGGCTTCAGATCTTTGACTTATACTTTGAATTGCCTGATTAATTACTGATTTAAATACTTCAACTTTAATTTTTTTCATTGGATTGGTAATAATGGAATCTTCAGTTATTTCGTCTACCATACGTTTCCTTTTTCTTAACCTTTGTTGTGGCAGCTCATGTTCAATTACAATATCTTTGTTTCTAATGATCTCAATTTGAATTATATAATTTAAAAATGCATTCGTCTTTTTAAAAATTAAAATTTTTGTCATATATTTCATTTAGCATTGCTTTTAGATTTGTTACCAAATGGTATGCTTGGATAAAATCAATAGTTTCTGTCTCAAGATAATTTGAGGTGGGAGTCACGTATTCAAAAATTTTTATCATTATAAATGATATTAAAAGAGTTTCATATTTGCAGAAATTTCTAAAAAAACAAGTATCAACGTAAAACAAAGCAGCAGCTTAGACTACGTCTAGACGCACCCATGTTGCCAGATTTCCCAGATTTCGTTGAATTATTGTAAACAACATTTTTATGATGGTGGTTTGATTTATCTCTAGTGCTTGACCGTTGGCCCCCAAACGGGTTTGGCCCCGTCGGCAAATGCCGACTTGCCGACCGGGCCAGTCCGACACTGACCACAAGATCACATAATCGTATATTAGTAGATAATTTCCCTTTAGTGAGAGGAATGTCAAAAACCGCCTTAATTATTTTTTAAACTACATTTACAATTTTTACAAAAAATAAACACATTATTCTCTATCCTGACAAAATTACTTAAATCTCAGATGACGATGACATGTTGAAGACAGCTTTGCCGCAGCAATAAATATCGAATGGTGAAAATGTAATGTAATTTCACGTTTTTTAAAGTTCTAGCAGGAAAACAAGTTCACCTACGAATAAAAAGTATAAGTGAGCTGATTCAGGAATTGGGCAAAACAAAACAAAAATTATAGATTGATTGACTTATCTATAAGAAGAATCAATCCTAATTTGTTTTCGCTTATCCTCCGGTATAATTCTCACTTTGTAGTATCGCGTTAGTCATACATCTCGGTACATTTTAAAGATAATGCAAACCAAACTGGCCCCTTACACTAACTCATACATTCATTCCGTATTTTAATTGATTAAAAATAAAACGATGAAGGGCAAAGCATGTGTGGGGCGTGGGCCGAATTATACCGGAGGATAAGCTCAACAAATTAGGATCGATTTTCCTTATAGGTAAGTCAATCAATCTATAAATTTGTTTTCGCTTATCCTCTGGTATAATTCTCACTTTGTAGGCTGTTTAAAGAATGAGCGGTCTATTTTGCCAATTATAATATTTATTTAAACACAATTTAAATCTAACCATTAATCTAAACAACAATCAATAACAACCATAAAGGTTTAACTATGGTTAACAAATAAATCAACAACAAAAAATAGATTAACTATTGAAAAATCAACAAATTGAAAAAATTATGTTACATTTTCTAGAAACAATAAATAGTAATCAACGTATAATACATTTAATAAATTCTGTTTTATCTGAGCACAATGGTCTATTATAAAAAGTAGCAAACACTCTTGAAGACTCTGACCATCCTGCAGTATTCTTTATTGCATCAATACTAACCCCAGAACGCAAAGCTGTGGATGAAGATGCATGTCGAGTGCTATGTGCTGAAAATTTTTCTTTAAGCATTGTTTTTATTCACCTGCCTACTGTTTGTGAATATGCAGGATGGTGCAGTTTTTTAAAAGTTAAAAACACTTGTGAATATGATTTAGAACGTAAAGGTGTAATATTTTAGTGTTAAAGCCACACACAACTGCGGTTTCTCGTTAAAATACGGAAATATAAAAAAGGGTTGGCGCTTATTTAGTCCAGATGTTTTAAGTCTGTCAGGAATCCTTATTTCTAAATTACATTCTGAAAAAATTATATTTTCTAAAGATATCTTTGTAATTGTTCGGACTCTATGCGCCATGGTTAAAGCCAAGAGCGTTACTACTTTTTTGGTTAACTGTTCTAGATTTAAGTCTTCCAAAGGGTACAAGAAACCTAATTTTTCCAGCACAGGTTGAGGGTCCCAGATATCATTATATTTTGGTCTTGTAAGATTAAGCTTATACACACCTTTTAGGAAACGTTTTAATATTTTTTTCATCAGCCGCATTGATTTCAAATAAAAGTACAAGCGCCGATTTATGGATATTTATTGTAGAATATGACAATTTCTGGGCCAGTAACTCTGTTAAATATTCAATAATAAAATTTTAATTATACTGGATTAGAATGACTCTTAATATAAAATTTCCACCACCTAGCATAACATGAATCGTAATTTTTTAAAGTTCCCTCTGATAAAGAAGCTAACAATATCGAAATGTTTCTGAAATTCTGCGTCTTAGGAGGGCGTTGCGGATAATATTCTTGCTGCCAGGATAAGGTCTTTGTGTGAGGGGTGAGGTTTCCTGAAAGGTGAAAAAGTAGATATTTATTAGGGCCTTTGAAAATCGGATTTTCGGTCAACAAACTTTTAAATAAAAGGAACCAAGGTTGGGTGGGCCAAAAGGGCACCACCAAAATTCCTGAAGCTTCATCATTTATTATTTTACTAAGTACTCTACTAATGATTGCAAATGGAGGAAAAGCGTAAAATAATGGTTTTTCCAGTTAATGGTAAAAGCGTCAACTACTATGGAATTTTGGTCCGGTTTCCATGACGCAGAAATTTCACATTTGTTATTTTTATGAGAAGCAAAGAGATCAATATCTGGCCTACCAAATGTTTTAACAATTTCGTCATAAAAAGAGACATTTAATTCGTATTCTGTCTCTATCAAATTTGATCTGGATCCCGCGTCAATCTCATAGTTTGCCGAAGAAGCAATATATGAGGCAAACACGAAGTTGTTTTTATTTTCACACCAGTTCTATATTAAATTTGACATACAATCTAACCCCTCGAATTGTGTATTACCCATTCTTTTTATGCAAGAAATTGCTGTCACGTTATCAATACGCAATAATATACTAGAATTTGTACGGTATTTAGCAAAAGAACTGAGTGCAAAGGATGCAGCTAACATTTCGAGTTGGTTTATATGTAAGGATCTTTGCTCTTCGGTCCAGAAACCGTTAGATTTAACATTCTTACAATATGCTCCCCAACCTGTCTTGCACGCGTCTGAATAAATGTCCACTTCAAATTTTATAGGTTGTTTTGAACTTAAAATATTTTTTGACCACCATTTTAAATCACTGTTAATATATGTTGGAAGTGTCATTTTTCTGTCAAAGTTGCTTTTATTAATTTGGAGCGCTTTCATTTTTACCCTTTCGAATTTCTTGGTATGTGCATAACCATACCTTACACCCGGGCATGCTGCGGTTATTTTTTCTATAAATTGTGCAAATTCCCTAATCCTACAAGTCGATCTATTTATACATTTATCACAGAGCTTTTTTAATTTTTTGTTTCTTTTCTATATTTACAGAAAATATCATGTATATTGTGTTATATTCAAAACCTAAAAATTTTATTTTTTGCAATAAGAAGAATATCATCTAAATAGATAATTAGTAATATGTTCTTATTTCTCAAATATTCGATTACAGGTTTCATTAATTTTGTAAATATATATGGAGCTACGTTAAGACCAAATGGTAAACAATTGAACTAATACAATACGCTATTCTCTAGAAAACGAAGGTATTTTTTATATTTTGTATGAATAGGAAAAGTGCTAAATTTAAATTTTTCAGTATTTTCGTTTTCAATGAAAATCTATAGAATAATGTTTCGAGTTAGATGTATGTGGAAAATGTATATATTTAGTTTATCCACTTAACATTTATGAAGGTGCTGCAATAGGTTGTACAAAATAACCGGAAAAAGCCTATAATAACTAGATAGGAAAGTCATGTGTTGGACACATCAGTCTTACTCAGTTTCTACACTAACACTAAGCCGTTTCTACCAAGTTGCTTATTTAGGGCGTCTCATTGACTACTTCCTGATGCCGTTTGATTTACAATTGCATCCTGGCATAATTTGCTTATACACGTGGCAAAGTTTACCAATGCTTTACTGACAGACTTTGATGTTGTCAATCAACATATTGTTTTGATTAACTTGTTGTTTCCTAATGTTTTGTTATTCTTAATAATTTTTTGACAAGTATGTATACATTTTTTTCTCGATAATACCTTGTGCATATACTTGCTAATATTTTCAGTGTCCTGTTAATTTGGCCCTCATTCTGTTGTATTTTATTTTCCTTTTTCATTAACCAAACCATTTTCCTGGACTAGTTGAAAATATTTTTTTTAGTGTGGGTGAAAAACAATGAGTAACTATCTAGTTCCTAGTTTTTAAAAGCGTGACTGGAGAGAGCAAGAATTTTGGGATTTAGTGATGTGAAATTGTAGATTTTCGATTTGGCAACACTGCGCGTTAGTTCAGATTAGAATTAAAAAAACCAAAAAAGGTTGACAGCTGTGTGCACGTAGTTTAGATTCAAAAGGAAATACTTGTATTTCGTGCAAAACTTTTTTATTAATCAATGCAAAGCGCTTTCGGCTTATTTGCCATCATCAATGCTCATCTACAAAAATTGTGGATGTAAACTTACAATTTAAAAAGATTTAAAAAAAATATATTATAAAATCTGAATTAGACTTTTAAGTCAAAAGTTAAAATAGTATATATACAATTGTTTGAACAAATTAAAAATTACAAGAAACAAACAAAGTGACAAAAAACTGGTATTGGGAATAGTGAGTGTGGGATAAGCCCTTACAAATCAAATCTGATCTCCAGAAGCAAGTTAGCTTGTGTGGAATTAAGGAATCATGCCACCCTCACTATTCGCAAAATTGAAAAAAGGTTAACAAATTAGTTAAAATTGAAAGAAATTTACAATTAGAGGGTGACTGTGGAAGATATATTGAAATTTGAATCTAGAATACAATATTTGATATGAAGAAAGTAAAACGCAGAAGGCCAAAGTAAAAAAACTGAAGGTTTTTTTTATATGTTTTATATACATTATAATTATGAAAAAGTCTACCTACTGTCCACAACGTATCCAACAAGTTCCTGGTCATCCTCACTCCCAAAATTATATATTTCGGGATATTTACAACTTGCTAAATCATAATTTTATTAATATTTTCAAATTTAAATTTCTCTCTTCATTTTGGTTCAAGTTGTTTAACCGTTTCCACATGACAGTGGTGACAAGCGACACTTGAAGACTTTGACTTGTCAA